GATGTAATTACTCCTTAATACAATAGGATATTGGCTATGGAATAGTATACATGCGATTTATATGTTATGAAAGTGGAAAATAAAAAAAAAGTATATTTTTAAAAAAAAGAAAAGAAAATGTTTCACTTCTCATTCTGCATTACTATTAATCTTCTCATCGTTCCTATCACCCATCTCCTCCCACTAATGACTGCAGGACTGTAACTTTGTTTCTTGTATCCTTACGATTTATACTGGTGTTGATTGTCCTTCATAAAACACACACACACACACACACACACACACACACACACACACATACACCACCTTTAATGCCAAGGCTGTCAGACCTGGAAGCCATCTTCTCTTTTGGACTTCAGCCCTGCCACACTTTCTACTTTGCATTTTCTATGGTGGGAAAAGGGGAGGGGGGATTATGTGGAGTTGGGTGATATGTAGCCATAACAACATTCTTTCTAGAAAGCCAAGGTCATCCTTTGTCTTTGCACCTCTGCATCTGATCGGAAATGGATGGGAGGAACTGCCAGCATGGCGGTGGGAGATTGGACCATGGGGTGGACATGTGGGTGTAGGCGGGGGGCAAGATCTTGGACTTTCAACTGGGTGGGGGAAACCGGGAAGCCTTCAGATTCGGGTTTTCCCAGATGTGCCAACATGGCTCTCTTAATACATTGGGACTTTGAGGAATCCTTTGCGTCGGACTCTGATTTACTTTTGGGTGCTATTTGGAACCCTAACAAAGGCTTTCCATGCAGGAGATTCGGGGCGGGTGTGTGTGTTGAGCTTTGGATCTCAACAGTTTCCCAGGTACCCAAAATAATCGAGGCCAGTCATGCTAGAGAGAATTTATTTGACCTTCTGGCCCATCAGGAGGAGCAAAGTCAGATCCAAGGTAGAAAAAGCACCCATGAAGCCACAGGGTGATGCAGAGCAGAGATTTCAACCGGAACTAGGACTCCATAACTTCCTGATTAGGAACTATTGATCCCTGCAGTGCTTGGCTGGTACTTGCAAATAAAATTATGCCTGGCCTTGCAGTCCTGATCGTTCCATGCGAAGTAACCTGGGCAGCCAAAGAGAAATGTGGATCACCTTTTGCTGAGACCCCCGGAGAGTCTCAGAGTCCTTTTCAGTGGCTCCTCCCCAGTTGAAGGGGGACCCGAAGACAGGTGGAGATCCACATCTGCTAAAACAGGCTGGGCGTTCATTAAGTGGTTGTGACCCTGTTGACTTCCTAGCCATCAAGTTTCTTTTGTTTATTTTTAAATTAAATTAAATTGTTTTATTTATTTGTATCCCGAGTTTATTAACTTGACAAAGAACTCAGTACGATGAACATATCCAACACATCTTCCTCCTCCTCCTCCTCTCTTCGCCACAACATGAACCCTGCTAGGTGGGTTGGGCACAGAGGGAGGGCTGGCCTGAGGTCACCCAGTCGGCTTGACTGCCCAAGGTGGGACTAGAACTCCCTGCCTCCTGGTTTCTAGCCTGCTGTCTTAGCCGGTAGACCAAACTAGCTTTCAGGATGTTTCATTTCATTTCATTTATTGAATTTCTATGCCGCCCAATCCCGGAGGACTCCGGGAGGCTTAGGGAAATGAAAAAAGATTAAAAAGAATTTTTAAAAACAATGGGACACAACAAAGTTTTAAAAAGGAACACAACAAACACCCAATCAGGAGGGAGCTGGACCTCAATCAAGGGAGTCAACAGCCCCAAGCTTGCCGGAAAAGCCAGGTTTTAATGGCTTTGCGAAAGGCCATGAGAGTGGGCAGGGCCCAGATCTCTGGGGGCAGCTCATTCCATAGGGCCGGAGCGGTTTTAATGACTTAATGTTTAATGTTCAGGCGTGTTCCAATGTTTCTCTTCTACAGACACACAATGGGGCTGAGATCCATCTCAACCGCACTGGGGCAGAAGAGTGATATACTACATATCTGAGCAAGCAAACATTTTTTTGTGGGGGGGGAGCAAAGGGCTTAGAAACTTTGTCAACTAATTTTTGTTTAGAATATGTTATAAAGGTTTAAGGCTATTGGATGACTCTGTAATAANGCTGACAGCCCTATGAAGCAGTATATAAGTCTAACTGCTATTGCTATTGCAGTCCGGCTGTTCAAATCTCACCTGCTCAGGGTTGACTCAGCCTTCCATCCTTCCGAGGTGGGTAAAATGAGGACCCAGATTCTTGTTGGGGGCAATATGCTGACTCTGTAAACCGCTTAGAGAGGGCTGACAGCCCTATGAAGCAGTATATAAGTCTAACTGCTATTGCTATTGCAGTCCGGCTGTTCAAATCTCACCTGCTCAGGGTTGACTCAGCCTTCCAACCTTCCGAGGTGGGTAAAATGAGGACCCAGATTCTTGTTGGGGGCAATATGCTGACTCTGTAAACCGCTTAGAGAGGGCTGAAAGCCCTATGAAGCGGTATATAAGTCTAACTGCTATTGCTATTGCAGTTCGGCTGTTCAAATCTCACCGGCTCAGGGTTGACTCAGCCTTCCATCCTTCCGAGGTGGGTAAAATGAGGACCCAGATTCTTGTTGGGGGCAATATGCTGACTCTGTAAACCGCTTAGAGAGGGCTGAAAGCCCTATGAAGTGGTATATAAGTCTAACTGCTATTGCTATTGCTAGGTTGGCAGAAGCTGGGGCAAGTAACGGAAGCTCACACTGTTACGCGGCACTAGGGATTCAAACCACCAAACTGCCATCCTTTCTGATCGACAAGGTCAGCATTTTAGCCACTGAGCCATCTATGAGTGGATAAGGATAGCAAGGAACCCTATGAGTTCCTTATTAGTGAAATGTAAATATCAGAAATCTACAGTTACTTGTATTAGTTCAACTATACCTTTTTAAAAACTACTCTGCCTTTGTAAGGATGTGGATCTGAAACCTGGAATCTTATTAATCAGACAAAATGGGGAGTTTCTTCCCATTTTACTATTTTTCTTGCCATGTTGTTTAGTGAATCACTATAAGTTGCTAAATTAGTAAAATGGTTGTTAAGTGAATTTAGCTTTCCCATTGACTTTGCTTGTCAGAAGACTGCAAAAGGGGATCACATGAGCCTTGGACATTGCCACCATCATAAATACATGCCAATTGCCAAGCATCCAAATTTCGATCATGTGACCATGGGGATGTTGCAATGGTTGTTAAATATAAAAAACGATCATAACTCACTTTTTTCAGTGCTGTTGTAACTTTGAATGATCACTAAATGAATGGTTGTAAGTCAATGACACCTGTAACGTGTAAAGACAAACACCAGTTAAAAAACTGGCAGCTGTATTTCACATGTTGTATAAACAAAGCTCATAGTAACAGGTGCCTTAGGTGCAATACAAAAACAACTGGAGCATCACTTGAATATCACCTGCATTGATAAAATCACAATCAGTGAAGTGCAAAAGGAGTTTTACTTGGAGCAGATTACATTCTGTGATAACACCAACAAAGAATAACACCCGCCTATCCCAGGCTCCTGCCTATCCCAGATTCAATAGCTATACAAAAATGCCAAATCCTTCCAACACATTTGGCTCACTATATGATCAACAAGAACAACAACAATAATAGATAACTTTGTATATCTAGAAAACAAGGACTTGCTGCCTGTAGAACAGAAAGGGTGCTGCAAAAATTCAAGAGGAACCAAAGTCCAACTGATGATTGGTAAACTGATTTTGAAGAATTCAAAGAAAAGACTTAACATATTTGTTCATGGACTGGGTTGATTGTAAGAAAGCATTTAATTCTGTTCCACGCATCTGGGTTGAGAAATGCTTAGACAATTTTTGGAATTAGCAGCAATATCCTGAAATCCCTAAAGACATCCATGAGGCTATAGCAAACTAAGCTGATAGCCTGATGAGAAATCTTACACTGTCACTTCTATTTGTACTTTTGATGGCACAACTAACAAGCATTTTGAACAAAACAAACTGTGGCTGTGAACCATCTTAAAAAGGGTTGAACATTTCCTGTTTGTTCTACACGGATGGTTTAAAACGGTTTGGGAAAACAAAAGCTGAATTGAGCTCACTGCTGAGGAGTTTAGCAGAGACATTGAAATGCAATTTGGCATTGACAAATGTGCAACAATTGCTTTTAAGACAGGAAAAATTGTTGAAGATGATGGATTCGAATGTGATAATGAAGAGCTGATAAAAGCAGTAACACCAGAAGAGGAGTAAAAGTACTTAGAAATTTTGGATGCTTCTGACCTGTTGTACAACCAAATCAAGGAAGGTACTTCAACAAAATACGTAAAGCTTGGCTTCGAGGGGAGGAGCTGCCGCCGTCGGGAGCTTAATAAAGCTCCTGCCAGGNCTGCAGATCACAGTCAGCTAAAGTGGCCTGCAGTACTGCACCCTAACCACTGTGCCACCTCGGCTCTTGGTATTGGTACCTAGGCAGTGGTGGGTTGCAGCCGGTATGCCCCGGTATGGGAATACCAGAGCCTGCCCGGAGCACCAGATACCATTGCGGTACGATGCTCCAGAGCACCCACCCTCCTGAGCTCCTTACCTGTCCTTTAAGCTTTTGGAGCTTCAGCACATGCGCATGGCGCATACGGCACCTGTGTGATGCTCCGCCGAGCAGCTGGAGCATCACGGAGGCGTCACAGGCAGATATGACACATGCGTGCACTGTGCACGTCAATGTGGGCGACACCAGGCCCGTTCCAACCATATCAGTTGGAACAGGATCCAGAACCCACCACTGAACCTAGGTATCTACAGTGCCAAAGGTTACACAGATGTGTAGAGCCCTATCAGTGATGTATCCCTGAGGCTGACAGGAAGTCCATATAGGTAGTCCTCGACTTACAACAATTCATTTAGTGACCATTCAAAGTTACAGTGACACTGAAAAATGTCTGCTTTTCACAGTTATGACCTTTGCAGCATCGCCATGATCACGTGATCAAAAGTCAGATGCTTGGGCACCGACTAATATTTATGACAGTTAGAGTGTCCCAGAGTCATGTGATCCCCTTTTGCAACCACCTGACAAGCCAAGCTTCCATGAGGAAGCCCGATTCGCTTAACAACCGGGATACTAACTAATCAACTGCAGTGATTCACTTAACAACTGAGGCACGGAAGGTCGTAAAAGAGGACAAACCTCACTTAACAAATGTCTCACTTAACAACAGAAATTTTGGGCTCAATTGTGGTCGTAAGTCGAGGATTACCTGTACAGGACTTCAGGAACGTTGTCATTGAATTAATAAAGGGTCTCCCTGAATTCCATTCGCAGTTCAAAACTCTGCCAGAGAGGCCTAATATTACAGATAGTCCTCAATTTAGCACCACAACTGAGCCCACAATTTCTGTTACTAAGTGAATTTTGCCCTGTTTTACGACCTTTCTTGCCACAACTCTCAAGTGAATCGCTGCAGTTGTTATACTAGTATTACAGCTGATAAGTGAATCTGGTTTTCCCATTGACTTGGCTTGTCAGGTGTTCGCAAAAAGAGATCATATTGCAACCGTCATAAATAGGCGTCAGTTGCCAAGCATCTGGATTTGGATCAAGTCACTTTGGAGATGCCATAAGGGCCCTAAGTGTGAAAAAAGGGCACAAGTCACTTTTTTTCAGTTCCATTGTAACTTTAAATGTCCCAAAACAAACAGTTGTCGGTCGAGGGATTACCAGTAGTGAAAAATGTGGCTCGCTTGGGTGTATAAATGAGAACTTTCCCTTCTTCCTCATTCCTATTATTATTGCATGGTTAATCTTTGGTGAGATTCACAGCCTNGCCACTCCCATCCGGTCACATGGGCAGCAAGCCACTCCCACAAAGGAGGCCACACCCACAGAGTAGTTTCAAACAATTTTTGAAACCCACCACTGCTATGACTGCATTAAAGTCATCCAATGACCTCTGTGGTTTTATGGACACTTGGATGTGGGTTCAAACCACCTTAGCTAGCATACCTTAGCTGCTGTCCTAGAGTAATACCATATACAATATTTTGTAGCCTTTTGTCCTTCCACCCTCATCATATTTCATATCTTGGGAGTAGTACAACAGGCACCTTGACAGTTAACTTGTGCTGAACCCAATGTTGCATGCAGAATGCTTCTTACGGTTTGTCTCCAGGATATATACCTATCAACTTCTTAATCTCAGAGCTATCTGAGATCTAAACCAATATTTCTTCATCCTCCTCCATCGTCCTCTTATCATTTTTTTTCGTTCCAAAGAAAATGAAGAATTTCCCGCCTTCAAAATCTATCATATTACTTTGAATATTTCAATGTTCAGTAGTACTGGATAATAGGTTAGTGGATGACACTCTTACATACAATATAGGACAAGATGGTTTGGTCATGGAGTACAGTACACTCTGTCATTGGTTAATTTGGAAGCATCAAAGCAAATGCTGATTAACTGATAGAAGCTATATATTGGCACATGTTTTCATAGAAAAATAACAATACATGAAAATGAAAGTGCTACAGAAGTCAGCAAAGGAAAGGATATAACTGCAAAGTATTTTGATTGAATTTAAGTTAATAAAGACTTAGGAAATGGGTCAGCTGTTAGTTATCTGGAAAAATTGCTCTATAGAATATAGAAACAATCACACTGTTAAGACATTAAGCCCTCTACAGGTGTTGAAACCCAAATGGATGTTTAGCATTGCTACGTTCAGGAACCATCCTGATTATCATTTTGCAAGAATAACACACTTTGTTTTAGGGTCGTGGACTATCTTGTTCAGCTTTATCTGATGTATACCTGTGTAACTTTGTACCATCAACTAACAGGGCTGATGCTTTTACTGTGATTCTATGAAAGTATTAACATTATATTTTTTAATAATGAATTGCTTTATGCAATACTTATTGATTTTTATTCCAAAACAATACTGAGGATGCAGAGGATAATAATAATTAATAATTTGAAATTCAAACAATAAAGTCGACCTACCATGCAGATATCCTAATATCAACTCCCAGTGTTGACACAACTTTTAATTATATGAATCTTTCGCCATGAAATATTTCTATCTTTTCCTCTTGTTGCTAATTACATGAAAAACAAGGCTGACCAATGATGCCTCATAAACCAGCCAGCTTTGCAGAGATCGTCCCCGCTGCTTCTGCCGCCTCAAATTCCATTGCAAAAGCCAAATGACTGACTGTATTTTTAGCTAAGAAAGACAAAAGCTAATCCGTACTGCAGTGAGACGTGTTCTTGAGGAATTACATGACTCCATTCCTGTGGATAGACATAACTTGTCACTTGAACTGCCATACGGTTCTAAACTAGAATGACACATCATTTTGACATAGACATTGTATTGTGTTAGACTATACATACCAGCACATCATTTACCTAATGAAAAATGGCAAACAGCCACTGCAAAGGTTGTTTCAGATTCAGTGAATGTTTAGTAACAGGAAGCTATAAAGTGAACAGTGAGAGTTAATTCTGCACGTAACCTTTGGAGCAATCCCAAAGTAGATGTATAGCCATATCTATTACGTACTATTACACCACTCAGGCAGTGAAATGGAGCTAAGTATATTGCAATGAATCAGGCCTTTAAATTATACAAGCTTGTTCTAGGTTTTCATATTCTGTTCCATGAGTGCTGGATAAGCAATGCAGGTATCAAAGGATGTTGACATCCCACAACAGTTAACACTGATGCAAAGTAATAATTTTGCCAATTTAACATTGTTCAAAGTGGACTCTGCATTCCAGACACGATCGGTTCTGTTTTAGGCATTTACATCTGAGAGATTCTTAGTGGCATTTCTCTCTTATTTATAGGATTGTAGAAAACTGTTCTTTATTGGTCCAGGTGGGATTCCCCTGCCCCCTCATTGTCAAGATTTTAAAAATGATCATATTTGTTTATTAAGATATCATGTGACGCTGTAAATGTAGCAACTCAGAAATGAATGGTTAGTGAAAATATAATTCCATATTACATTCCGTATAATGCTTGCCATATTCCTTGTAACCCTTGCCATCCAACATCAACCTTGGACACCGCTCACCTTTTAATTATCGGTCATGAAATAAATAATTCTTTAAGCCTTTCAGCTAAGTTTGACCCTTTGGCTGAAACTGATAGGAAATTGGCAAATATCAGCAACTCAATCAAAACCATTAGAAATTCCCTTAAGTTATGAACTCTGTTGTGTATATAATAGCAGTAGCCAGATCCAGACCCCTCACTCAAGGTCAACATCAGGCATAACAAAAAGCATGACCCGACAAATACGCGTCCGACAAAAGCGCGCCTACAAAACCGCGGCAAGAAAACCGTGACATCGAAATCGCACCCACAACAGGGCGCCAACAAAACCGTGCCCACAAAATCGCGATTAGGGTTAAGGTAAGGGTTAGGGTTAGGGTTAGGGTTAGGGTTAGGGTTAGGGTTAGGGTTAGGGTTATTACTTTGTTTTCACGTTGTTTGCTGATGGCGCGTTTCTGTCAGCACTCTGTTGTGGGCGCAATTTCGACGTCGCGGTTTTCTCGCCACGGTTTTGTCGGCACGCATTTGTCATGCGCGCATTTGTTGGTGAACCCACAAAAAGAAGTAAATTGGCCAAATTTGGTATGCCATTCAGATAAACATTCTTTTCAGGATACCAGAAAACACACCCATTAATAAACAAAAAATCACTTCCTCTTTGTGACTGTCGCTTCTAGCTGCAACGTTAATTAAGCAGGAAGTCAGTTGATATGATGGGGGGGGGGACCTACAATGTCAGCGGGATGCCTAACACCCTTTTGGGCATCCAGCTAATTGGGCATCCAGCTAGACCTGGCCAAGCCTGAACCCAGGATTTTCGTCTAACAGGTTGTTCTCCCGATGCTGCCAAATTATAACTTGCAGCAGCCCCAAATTGAAACGTGAGGGATGCTGAGGACAATTGTTCATTCTGCTTTGAAAAGTAAAGTGTTAAAAGTAAATAAGGTGTTAGATTTGAAAGATTCAGAGTGATATCTCTACATGTCACTTTAGTAATAATTAGGAGGATGCAATAAAGAAATATCCATCTAACTGAGTTTGCACTTTGTGCAGGGAAAAAGTGAAAATGCAATAAAAGAATGCAAGATGTAACTAAAAGGGCTGAAGAGTCATTGTGCTTTGCTTATTGCCGCTGGAAAATGCAATAAAATGCTGAGGTGTGCAAAATCCTTGTTCAGTAATGACATCTT